GTTAGCATGACGTTAGCATGATGTTAGCATGACGTTAGCATGATGTTAGCATGATGTTAGCATGACGCTAGCATGACGTTAGCATGACGTTAACATGACGTTAGCATGACGTTAGCATGACGTTAGCATGACGTTAGCATGATGTTAGCATGATGTTAGCATGATGTTAGCATGACATTAGCATGACGTTAGCATGACGTTAGCATGACGTTAGCATGACGTTAGCATGACGTTTGCATGATATAACACGATATTAACATGACGTTAGCATGACGTTAGCATGACGTTAGCATGACATTAGCATGGCATTAGCATGATGTTAGCATGGCATTAGCATGATGTTAGCATGACGTTAGCACACATTAGCAGCACATTTTGAAACCCTTCTGCAAACGCTTACGTTCCTTCAGGCGCTTGTTTCCGGTTCTGGAGTCACTTTGTTAAGATGTTTTCACCGACACTAGTTCCTTCATGGAACACATGAATTAAACATTTCGGTTGGTTCAGCGTGTCATCCAGCTCGTAGGATGTTTGGGTTCACTGCATCATTCACGAAGAATAAGAGGAACATGTTTAGTCCTTGTAGGTCTCAGTTGCTGAATAAATTCCTATGGCTTCAAAAAACTAATTAAAGTAAAAAGAACAAAAAGGAAAACACAGAATGACAAAAGGTTTTGTTGTATTCTGGTTAAAAAAATGTGAACGAAAACATAAAATGGTTGAATTGTTGAATAAGTGCACTCCATGGGAGGCTGCTGCCATGTACATGGTTATTTTTCATTCAAGCTTTATTTCTACCGGTTAGTCTCATTGAGCCTCGAGTGAAGACATTTTATTTGCTTTGATAAAGTGACTTTGTTTGAACCAACACAACTCTTTTTAACCACCTAAAACAGATTTAAACATCAATCATAGCATCTTGCAGATAAAGACGACGGTTTAGCCTCAGAAACTTTTCAGCTGCTCGTCAGCACACCAGAACAATTACACATTCATGTCTGAGCTTTCTATAACTGAAACACCTTCTGACACGGGACTACTTTTCTTTTCTTCTACAATTAATATGTTCAAACTTGTCCTCTTCCCGTGTAAATGTATATTTATTAAAATAATGCAAATTATCTAATTTGTTCTCATATGAAAATATTGGCCTTCTGCACCATGATATTTTGTTTTGTTCAGCTCAGATTTGTTGTCTTTCACCAGGGAGACTAGCTTGTCTTTATTCATTTATTTATTTAACAAAATAACATAATATAATCTACACAATAAAAAAAATAAAAAAACAGTTTCTTTCATGTTTCATGTTCTGTTCATTCCAAAAATGCACATAAAGCAAAAACTCTGGATGATAAAAAAGACTGGGGTGGAAGTGGGGGGTTTGTGAAATGGCCTCCCTTTACCCCCCTTTGGTGGCACCCCTGTCCACTCTGATCACAGCAGATGATAAATGACAGAAATATCCAACGCTCACAAGAAAGCAAACTCTTGAATGTGTCAGTTTTATTTTTGTAAGATCTTTTGTTGAGATTCGTTTTATTCTGTTTTTATTTGACTTAATTTGTAATGCAGAGCACTTTGTGTCTAATTCTGGGGCTTTAAAATGTAACACTTTAAAATGTAACACTTTAAAATGTAACACTTAAAAATGTAACCTTTCTACGTATCATTTATTATCATATTTTTAAACCCGCCGTCTATAAAAACCTGCTATGGATAATAAAACATGAAGTGCAGTTATAAATATGCCATAGGTTCTCATATTCATTTTCTGCTCATTTGCTATATTAGAATGTGCATGTCTTTTAAAATGCACATAAATTGAAATAAATTCAATATTTAAGTGCATGCAGTCTTTTATTTTCTTTAAATGCTCCAGATAGATGCAGAAAATCTGTTGAAGTTGGTTTAAAATCTCAGATGTTACTTTTTTAAAATAGTTTTATGATTCCTTCACCATTTTGAAACACAACTTTGTCCCTATTGTATCTGTGCATGTTTGTGTGTGCCACAATAAACACATGCACACACACACATGCACACACACACGCACACACACATGCACACACACACATGTACACACACACATGTACACACCTCACACTGAACCTGAACAATAAGAATTTGTGAATACTAAGGCGTATGATTGCAGCCTTTATGATTCTGCTCTCTCTGAAGAAGCATAATTAACCATTGTCTGTGATGGTGCAGGCAAACAGTTTGACTGTAGCAATACCCCCCCCCCCCCCCCCCCCACACACACACACACACCTCCTCACAACCCCCCCACCCCCCCATCTATTCAATAACTAGTCCACAGACAAAGTAAACAACAGACACAAACAAAAGGATGGAAGAGGAGAATCGTTTGTGTCCAGTTTACTCTGAAATTCTCTCAAACTTTTAGAATTTGTCTTTGGAGATTTTTGTGAAACCGTTTTCCCACAAAACTACACACGCACAAGCACACACACGCACGCACACATGCACACACGCACACAGATATCTGCCGCCCACACAGACGGCGCATCAAACGAAGGAACAAGCAGTAATTAGAGTGGTTAATGGCTCGTCTGTTGTGGTTAATTGCAGCCTGTATGGATCGGGTATCGGGGGTGGAAAAGGAGGAAGATGAGGGACTAAAGATGATCACTGCTTTAGTTCTGATGATCTCAAACTTTGTTTTCAGAGTGTGAGACTGAACAACTTTAAAAACTCCAAGTATTTATCCATCAGAGGATCGTCAGTATGAAACATGTTCGAGTCCAGAACCATAAGTTTTCTGTGAGACAACTTCTTGCAATCTTTCTGTATCTGCCAACAATCACTGCTCTGTTGGAAAATTAAACTATAATAATTATTTTGTATAGTAGGGCAGCACGGTGGTGCAGCTGGTAGAGCTGCTGCCTCTCAGCGAGCAGGTCCCTGGTTCAAACCCCGGTCCAGGGGCCTTTCTGGGTGGAGTTTGTATGTTCTCTCCGTGCATGTGTGGGTTTTCTCCAGGTACTCCGGTTTCCTCCCACAGTCCAAAAACATGCATGTTAGACTGATTGGTAACTCTAAATTGTCCCTAGGTGTGAGTGAGAGAGTGAATGGTTGTTTGTCTCGTTTGTCTCTATGTGTCCCTGTGATGGACTGGAGACCTGTCCAGGGTGTCCCCCGCCCCTCACACAGTGATTGCTGGACATGGGCACCAGCGACCCCCGTGACCCAAAATGGAATAAGCGGATAAAGATAATGGATAGATGGATGGATTTTGTATAGTGAAGAAGATGGCTCAAGGCTGCGTCCATCCATACATCCATCCATCCATACATCCATCCATCCATCCATCCATCCATACATCCATCCATACATACATCTATTATCTTTACCCACTTCTTCCTTTCTGGGTTGCAGGGGTCACTGGTCCTCATATCCAGCAGTTATTGTGCGTGAGGTGGGGGACTGGACAGGTCTCCAGTCCATCAAAGGGACACCTGGACAGGTCTCCAGTCCATCAAAGGGACACCTGGACAGGTCTCAGTCCATCACAGGGACACCTGGACAGGTCTC